TCTAAGAAAATAGTGGGGCAACATGAGGAACGAATAATCAAAGAGGGGTGCGTCATCTAGATCGAGATCTAGCGACCAAAAATATTAGCACTGATAGTGCAAACAGTAGTAGGGTCAATTTGGAGAACTTTCGAAGGAGGAGGAAAGAAATGAGGTGGGAGGGTGTAGATTACAATCCAAGATATCTCTGACCATCCAAACTAGAGAGACTAGAGCCTTGAGAGGCCCCATGCAAGAAATAAGCTACCAAGAAAAAAGTGAAGCAAAGGGGGCCACAATCCGTGGCTAACGGAGACACCCATGAGTATGGGGGTGCCACTAATGCAATTCGAAAAATAACGAACTGCTCCTAGAACTTGATCTAGGGCCTAGAAAATGTGTCAACAACGAATTGACACTTGCCATGTCAAAAAGAAAAGAGAAGAAAAGAAAAAGGAGAGAAAAAGGAGAGAAAAAGGAGGAAGGATGAGATAAAAGAGGAGAAAAAGGTGGAGAGAAAATGGTCGGCCAGTTGGGACTGACATGTCCATATTGTGACGTCATCACTCCAGATTTAGTGAGAGTAAATCCGAAGTCGAGAGACAAGACCCTTGGGGCCATATCTCGACAAAATTTGAATTAAAAAGGAAAAAATGAAAAAAAAAACAAAAGAGAGTTGACCGGTTTTCTTTTGGGCCATAGATCTGAGATTCATATCTATGGAAGAGACGATATGGCCGTTTTTTGTGAGGCCAACTCAAACGGCCAACTCCGAAATGAGTTGGCAGCCCAAAATGGAAACAAACAAGAGAAAGAAAAGGACGAAGTAGTGCATTTGGCAAAAAACTAAGGCCAAATGCACCAAAAATTGAAAAGGAAAGCCATGGGGCTCAAATCCGAAGCACGACCCACTTGTGGGTAGCTCGAATTAATTATGGCCTTGAATCTCAGCCAGATCCAAGGCAGAAAATACACCGAGGTATAAGGAGGTACCTCGACCTACCCAAATTGAGGTAGGGCTAGAGAAAAATGAAAAAAAAGAAAAGGTTCACAAGGCCTTTTCTTTTCAACCAAGGCTGCCCCTTGAATATTCGGAACCATGAGGCAACAATTGAAGATGGAAATGAGGCTTAGAATAACCTCAAAGGTACCAACCATTCAGACTGCATGTACTTAACCAAAATAAGACCCAGATACTTCCGGAGAGGCCCACTAGTGAAAGAAGGCCTTGGGGGTACCTCGACTCTTGGGAGAGGCCCAAGGGTTGGCCGAAGTGTTGTGCCCAACCTATTTAAGCTAGGGAAGCAGTCCGCCACACACACATTTGTATGAGGCAAGTACATGCTGGTCAAATGAGCTCAAGAGAGCACTATACTCAACCCGAGTAAGAGGAGGGGACCGCTAGGGAAGCAGTCCGCCACACACACATTTGCATGAGGCAAGTACATGCTGGTCAAATGAGCTTAAGAGAACACTAGACTCAACCGGAGTAAGAGGAGGGGAACCGTTGCTAGTATGAAAGGTTGGAGACTGTAGGCTAGTGGAAGGAGCTACAGAGGTTGGTGGAAGTAGTGCTGGCATAGGGGGTTGTTCCACCATAGCCTTCACGCTTTGAGGAAGAGAGGAAGGCTAAAGAGAGTCCCCTTAGCCCTCCTAGAGGGGAGGACTCCATAGCCTTAGGGATAGGAGCTTGTCATAGCTAGAGAAAGACTGAGGAAGGGAAGAAGGAGGAAATAGCCAGATAACAAGTGTGCAAAGAAAGGGAGAGCTTCATCAAGGTTGACCTCACAAGGCCAAGACATTAGAAGAGATGAGTAGGAAAGGAAAAGGTGCTCCGGAAAAGGTGCTCCCTTTCTTCATCACCTTCATCCTCTTCTTCTTCTTCTTCTTCTTCTTCTTCCTCCTCCTCCTCTTTGCTTCTCATTATCCCTTTTCCTTTCTTTCTCTTCTTCTCTACCTCCTTCCCCTCTTTTCTCCTCTTCATTCCATCTCCTTCTCCTCTCCTCTTCCCTCCTTTCTCTGTGCAACTAACATCCCAAACATGGGAAGAGTAGGAAGTAGCTCCCTCACTAAAAGATTGCCTCCATTTTGTCCATTCCTCCACTCCCATGTAAATTGCCACTTGGATCTTTGTTTTTTCAAGCCTTGGGAGGGAGTGACATTCTCTCACTCTTTCTCCATGTTTTGTCCATCACTTCACTTGGCTGAAAATTGCTACTTCACTTCTTGCTTCAACTAGTATTGTGAGCTTCCTTTCTCCATCTATTGTCATATTTTTCACTCCCTTGTGAATCGCCACTTGGATCTTTGTTTTTTCAAGCCTTGGGAGGGAGTGAGATTCTCTCACTCTTTCTCCATGTTTTGTCCATCACTTCACTTGGTTGCAAATCGCTACTTCACTTCTTGCTTCAACTAGTATTGTGAGCTTCCTTTCTCCATCTATTGTCATCTTTTTCACTCCCTTGTGAATCGCCACTTTGATCTTGTCTTTTCAAGCCTTGGGAGTGAGATTCTCTCACCATTTCTCAATGTTTTGTCCAATTCTTCACTTGGTTGCAAATCGCTACTTCACTTCTTGCTTCAACTAGTATTGTGAGTTTTCTTTCTCCATGTATTGTCATATTTTTCACCTCCTTGTGAATCACCACTTTGATCTCTGTCTTTCCAAACCTTGGGAGTGAGATTTTCTTACTCTTTCTCCATGTTTTCTTCATTCTTCACTTGGTTGCAAATCGCCACTTCACTTCTTGCTTCAACTACTATTGTGAGCTTCCTTTCTCCATGTATTGTCATCCTTTTCACCTCCTTGTGAATCGCCACTTTGATCTTTGTCTTTCCAAACCTTGGGAGTGAGATTCTCTCGCTCTTTCTCCATGTTTTGTCCAATTATTCACTTGGTTGCAAATCGCTACTTCACTTCTTGCTTCAACTAGTATTGTGAACTTCCTTTCGTCATGTACTGTTATCTTTTTCACCTCCTTGTGAATCACCACTTTAATCTGTCTTTCCAAGCCTTGGGAGTGAGATTCTTTCACTCTTTCTCCATGTTTTGTCTATTTTTTCACTTGGTTGCAAATCGCCATGTCACTTCTCGCTTCAACTAGTATTGTGAGCTTCCTTTCTCCACGTATTGTCATTCTTTCGACCTCCTTGTGAATCGTCACTTTGATCTTTGTCTTTTCAAGCCTTGGGCGTGAGATTCTCTCACTCTTTCTCCATGTTTTATCCATTTCTTCACTTGGTTGCAAATTGCTACTTCACTACTTGCCTTTCCTAGTGTAATGAGCTTTATTCTCTCTTGATTTGTCAATCTCTCCACTCCCATGTAAATTGCTACTTTGGTCCTCGCTTTCCCTAGTCATATGCATGTACTTTGTCGAGTTTCCTTCGTGTTTTCCGTCAATCTTCCACTTCATAATGTTCCGCTTCACTCTTGGTTGTGCATGTACCTTGTCACGTTTTCTTCATGTTTTCCATCGGTCTTCCACTTGGTAATCATGTGCATGTACTTTGTCGAGTTCCCTTCATGTTTTCCATTGATCTTCCGCTTGGTGATATTCCGCTTCACTCTTAAGGTACTTCCACTAGTCATGCGCATGTAACTTGTCAATTTTCCCACGTGCGTTTCATCAATCTTCCACTTGGTAATGTTCCGCTTCACTCTTGGGTGCTTCCACCAGTCGTGTGCATGTACCTTGTCAAGTTTCCCACATGTGTTTCTTGCAAGTGTTTCATCAATCTCCACTTGGAAATGTTCCGCTTCACTCTTGGGTACTTCCGCTAGTCTTGTGCATGTGCCTTGTCAAGTTTCTTCCATGTTTTTTCCGTCAATTTTCACTTGGTGGGGTTCTGCTTCACTCTTGGTTGCTTCCACTAGTCACATGCATGTGCCTTGTCAAGTTTCGTCCATGTTTTCCATCAACCTTCCACTTGGTAGTGTTCCGCTTCATTCTTGGGTGCTTCCACTGGTCATGTGCATGTGCCTTTTCAAGTTCATCACATGGGTCCCATTAATCATCACTTGATAATGTTCCACTTCACTCTTGGGTGCTTCCATTAATCATGTGCATGTGCCTTGTCAAGCTTTCCACACGTGTTTCGTCAATCTTCCACTTGGTAATATTTCACTTCACTCTTGGGTACTTCCACTAGTCTTGTGCATGTGCCTTGTCACGTTTCCCTCATGCGTTTCGTCAATCTTCCACTTAGTGGTGTTCCGCTTCACTCTTGGGTACTTCCAATAGTCATATGCATGTTCCTTACCAAGTTTTTCTCATGCTTTTCATCAATCTTCCACTCGGTAGTATTCCGTTTCACACTTGGATGCCTCATCTAGCCGTGAGCCTATGATAGAGCTGTGTATTCCCGTCATTAGGACAACCCTCCCCCCCATGTGCTCTATTTGAACACCACTACTACTCCTCTACTATGTTGCACGCCCGGTCGCGGCCGGGGGAGGAAATCGACCGCGGCCTCGGCCGATGGCTGAATCGGCCAGGTTCGGCCTCGGCCGACCAGCCAAGTTTGGTGCAGGATTTTTTTTTTTTTCTAATGCATGAAAAATATATATATATATGGGCGTGTAGGGCTCAAAAAACCCTACACGCCCATATTTTTTTGGGGGGCATTGTTGTTTTCTATTGCGTAACAAAAAATAAAAACAGAAAAAAGAAAAAAAGAAAAAAAAACTCTTCGAAACCCCGTGCAAGTATCTGTGTGTGTGTGTGTGTGATCGGGGGGGCAACTGGCCACTTTGAAATTTTACCAGTTTACACAGTAAGAGTGGTAAGAGCATTTCGGGCCTGGGCCTGGGCCAGTAGCAAAAGCAACTGGCCACTTTGAAATGGCGCAGTTGCAAGCTAGCGAGCCTTCGAAGGTAGCTTCGTCAACTTAGGATCATGTGAACTGGTGGTTCAAATACAATCTGTCGAGTATCTATATATGCATCCATGCATGCATCTGTGCATGCACACATACATATACCTGACCTTCTGACTATGGCTCCATAGGTCCCACAATCC